GGGAGAGACCCTGCCTCAAAAAAAACCCCACAAAAAACCACAAAAAACCAAAAGTCAAGATAATCAGTGCTAGCTGTAGTGTCAGTCTCAGTGGCTTAGCCCTAAAGTGTCTACATTTTCAACATGGGTTGCCAAGGGGTCTGCTGTACAAACTTACTGAATGTGCCAGTTTTGGTCTGTTGCCACTTGGTTTGGTTCTCATTCTTCCATGGTCTCCTCAGTATTACAGGAGGCTGGATGACTACAAACTATACTTCCCAGTCTCCCTGGCTGGTTGGCTTCTGGGTGTATTCTAGGTATGAGTTCTGGGAAGAACTCATGAAATCTCAGGAGTCTGAATGGGATTGAAGGCATTTTCTGCTTCTAGTGGCACCTTAGGTTGTGGCTGGCCAGTCAGGGCTCCTAAGTTCTTGCTTTCTAATCACATTTGCAACAGTGGCTAATGTGGCTCCCATCATATAGCAGCACTTAGAACTGTGTGTCTGTAATTACCTGAGTAGCTGTCTATAATATCACTCTCTCATTTTGCTTCTCTGAAACTAGGGATACTAATCTATGGTATTCTCACCTTCTCCTTAATGATACTGCAGGACTTTTAATATGTTTGTAGCAGTTTTGCTGTACTCAGTATTCTGTTTAATTATGTAAGAATTCTTCTCTTTCCCTGGCTGGAGTTTCCCAGGCTCAGGCAGACAAAAGCTCCATGTGGAATGCATTTGCTCCAACACCACCAGAGCAGGAGAGCAGTGAGATAGAGGTAGAACCCTAGCTCCTACCTACTACGTGCTTTGGCTTAGAAGTAGTATATGTCAGCTGGGCACATGCCTGTAATGGAAGCACACTGGGAGGCTGAGGCAGGAGGATCTCAAGTTTGAGCTCAGCCTGAGCAAATTAGCAACTTTAGCAAAAAAAAAAAAAATTTAGGGGCCGGGGATTTAGCTCAGTGGTTCTGCCACCTGCCTTGCAAGCGCAAGGACCCGAGTTCAATCCCCGGTACCAAAAAAAAAAATTTATAAATAAGGAGATTGTAGTTATTAATAATGTCTT